GCTTTGTTTGCCTCCGCCTTTGTGGCACAAACCTACAGCATGTTTCTTGACTCAAACAACCAGTCTTTCAGCCAGGGGCCTCCTGACAGCCGCCTGTGACCCTAATTTCAGGCGCTTTGCAATTCAGCACCGCTGGCACGAGCGCTCCGAATCAGCCTTAGTTTCACTCTTGCACGCTTCTGTTGGCCCTAAGACAACCCGCCTTCTGAACGCGGTGTTGTCTTGCCTTGAAGACCTTGAATTCATTCTCGTGCGTATGCAGCCTGCGATGCCCGCATTGCCAGTTAGGGAGATGCACTCTCACGAGCCAGTGGACCTCACGTCATGCTCACAGATCTAAAAGTGTGTGGCTCGCGCTCTGCTTGACGCCCGCTCTGACAAGCACTGTCGCTCGGCGGACTCAGGCCTTTTCTGCCGTGGCCTCATTTGACGGCTACAACCATGCCTATGCCATTTTCGTATTTTTGTGCATTTGGCAGCATGACAGGCCCGCGCCGGCTCTCCAGCAGCCTTGTCATCACGTACACCACGAGCCTTCTGGTCAACACCTCAGATGCATCGCTTGTGCGTATGCCGCGATCTTGACCGGCGCTGCATTTAGGCTCAATGCCTTATCGCAACAAACAGTTCTGGGGGAGAGCATTTTCATTCAGATGAAACGGATGCAGACTGCCCTGCCTTATGCCCACACCAGTGGTCAGGCCCTCGAGACGTACGCCCTGCAACTGACTCTGATTCCACATCACCAGGAACAACTGCCAAGGCCAACCCAGAGCTCAGCTGGCCCTCAGGCAAGGATCATGGCAGTCGGTCCAGACCTTACCCAGTGCGCGCCTCTGTTAGCGATCTCCGCTTTCAACTGCGGAGCCGCGCAGCACTGCCTCCTTGCCCTAGGCCTTCAATAGTAAATCAGAGACCAGGGTGCCCGGTGCCAGAGTGCATCCCACTAAGGTCCTGGGTAGACCCTGTTTCCTGCCCCCTGCCCAAGCCGCCTTGCAGGCCTTGGCCGCGCAGTCTAGCCTTGCAGTCACTTCAGCCAGGAACGCACAGACCGGATCGAATGCTCACCCCGCCACCCACAGTGTTGCCCTCACACCGCGTGTTCGGCACCAGGCCTACAATGCCCAGGCCGTATGGCCCGGTCCGCCCGGCCGAGCCCTCCTCTACTGCTCAGCTGCAAGCCACACTGAAGGACAAGTGTACGGCCGAATGGGTTTTGATACTCAAATCCTGCGTCGCTAGCAGCAAGCTGGCGCAAGCCCTGGAAGCCTCGCAGCACCCGCAGACTCTTGTTGAAGCATCACTGCGAAAATTTTCGGGGGGCACGCTGTCGCAGTACCTCCGTGCCATCCGCCTTTTTCTCACCTTTGTACATCAGTGCGTGGGTGATTTGCTGAGCCTTACCCTGGCCCACCTCTCAGATTTCATCGCAGGCTGCCATGTGTCCCAAGCAGAGGACCGCGCAGCACTTAAATGCAGTGCCATCATGATGAGCAAGGCACTGTCTTGGTTTGCACGCATTGGGCAGATATCTAGCCTGTTAGACTTGATGGGCAGCCCCTTAATCAAGTCTTTCGCCTACAACCCTAAACCACACGACCGACGGGAAGCCTTGCCCTTGCCACTGGCCATTCTTGCAGCCTGGGAGGAACACATAGTCTCCCCCACTTGCACGCCCGCTGTGGGCCTGTTACTAGGCGCCCTGCTTTTGTGCGCCCGTTGCAGCCTAAGATTTGGCGACATTCAGAGAATCAAGCCCTCCGCTCTTTCGCTGTCTGCACAGGCACTTAGGGGCCTGTGTTGGGCCACCAAGACTACCTGCCAGGGACAGCCCTTTGCATGCTTGCCTTTCGGTTTCCGAGGTGAGGATATCAGCACATCCTGGCTAGTGAAGTGGCTGGCCCTGCTCAGTCAAGCCCTTGACGCCACCCACTCCGAATGGGGAGATTCATTTGTGCCCGACTTCATTTTGCCCTGCGTTCCAAACCTGGAATCTCACGTATGCCCCAGCCTTTCGCGCCCGATGTCCTATTTGCAGGCACTGGTTTGCCTTCGTTGGGCCATACAGTTGCCATGGAAATCGGAAGGCGGTCAGCTGGTTACCCAGCACGAGGCGTCTTCGTTTACCCTTCACAGCCTTAAATGCGCATTACTCAGTGCAGCTGCGCAGCTACGCCTTCCAGAAGACAGCAGAAGGCTTCAGGGACACCATCGCCTCTCGTCCGCATTGCTATACAGCAGGGACGATACAATAGAAGCCTTGTGGGTACAATCAGAATCCGACATGGCCTTCTGACCCAATATCCGCCGTTGCCCTGTCAGCCAGAACAACTGGCGATGTCAGCTCAAGCCGCTCTGACCAGGAAAAAGTGCAGTCACCGCATGCCAAGCTGCTCACAACCCAGCGTGCATGGTGACGCTAGCATCTGCCCTGCCAGGTACAACCCCACTCTGAAGGGCGATGAGGCCTTCGGCCCAGCGGGTTCGCTTTTACCGGGGTTGCCTGAAACACTGAAGGGGGGGTCAATGTGCCTCCTGCTCCAGGCGCACTAGTGCCCTGGAAGCAGTGCAACTTTCAGCAATCCCGGTAAAAAGAACTGCGGCCGCTTCGGACGAGATTTGTTCTTTTGAGGTTTCATGTTTGGGTTCAAGCTAGGAGCAGTGCAACATGCCTTAACGCTTAGGGTTTCTTTTTCCCTTGTGTTTAGGGCATGTGGTGAATCGAACTATGCGTTGGCCGTTTTGCTCCTAGCCTTGACCCAAACCTGCGGTTTCATTTCTGAAACCCACCCACCCGCCCTGCACTGCCCTATGCCAGGCTTTGCCAGGATAGATAGCAGTTTCTCTGCACTTTCGTGGGTCGCCTCCGGGCACTTTGGTCTCCGGACCAGGTCTCCGGACCAATTTCGGTCTCCGGACCTCGAGTCTCCGGACTGTCGGTCTCCGGACCTTGGGGCGTGGGCACGCATGCCGCGCCCCCCAAGCACTGCATTTACACGCAAGGACTCGCATTGTCTTGCCTTTCTCACATTTCGGGGGGTCAATGTGCCTCCTGCTCCAGGCGCACTAATGCCCTGGAAGCAGTGCAACTTTCAGCAATCCCGGTAAAAAGAACTGCGGCCGCTTCGGACGAGATTTGTTCTTTTGAGGTTTCATGTTTGGGTTCAAGCTAGGAGCAGTGCGACATGCCTTAACTGGCTGCTCTTTCCGGGGTTGCTTGGAAACACTGAAGAGGGGGACAATGCTTCCTCCTGCTCCAGGTGCACCGCGTGCCCTGGAGGCAGTCAACTTTCAAGCAACCCGTGAGAAAAGAGTGCGCGCCTTTCGGATTTGCGGGGATCTTTGATGTGAGGGTTGTTTGGGTTCAAGCTAGGAGCAGTGCAACAGGCCTCAACGCTTAGGGTTTTCTTTCCCCTTGTATTTAGGGCCTGTTTGAATCTCGTACGCGGTGGCCATTTTGCTCCTAGCCTTGAACTCAAACCGTTTGTTTCGATTGAAGCCCACGCTCCCACCCTACTTTGCCTTTCACAAGGCTGGTTCGAGGCTGCAGACGCTCTGCGCCTCAAGTTCAGGCTTGGGCACGCCTGCCCTGATGTGAGGGTTGTTTGGGTTCAAGCTAGGAGTAGTGCAACAGGCCTTAACATTGGCTATTCATGGTATGATGGGGGACAAACCACAATGATGGTATCTTCACATCGCCTAACACAGGTCCAAACATAGCCATGATTTGTCACGCCCTGTCACGCCACAGCGCAGTGGGAACTGCCGCATTTATTCCGCATTGCGTCGCCGAATGTGCAAGCGCTTTGCAATGCATCGGCTTGCTAACAAACATCGGCAATTTTGCTGAAAAACCTTGCTTTGCAACCTTAGGCTTCATTTGGCATATTGTTGTGTTACTTTTAGGCCCGCAAACACATTTGCGGTTTTTGTTGATGGTTTTGGCTCGATCCTGAGCAAGTTAGCTGCAACCAAGACCTTCCAGAATGAGCCGGCGAGCTAGTTTGCAGCTTTGCCATCAGCATGCATTGTCGCATATGAATCGTGCATAAACGTGCAAAGATGAACATGACCCCGTCCGAGGAAGGCACTAAACACCAAGATTTGGCCCTGATCCACAGGCCAGTTGCTTCTCATGTCTTGCAATCAGCACATTGGTCCTGAGGCAGCTGCTGTTGGTGTTGAGGCCTGCGGAAAATAGCTGCACTCAAAGCTTTCCTTGCAGTGATCAATTCTTGTTAATTCTTGTGGATTGAGGCAGATCGAGCACATGGTGGCGCAGTCCTCTTCCGTTCATGCAAATGATTTAGTTTCACATGTCCGATGCTCAGATTGGCTTGAAATATCAGCTAGGTCCCGTCACGAAATCTTTCTTGGATGTTTTGCAAGCATTTTCTGAGGACACGGATATTCTGCCTTCAGAAATTTGGGGCTGCCGCCAGCTTGGACTCTGTTGCACGTTGAACAATGCTGACTTTGGCAGTCCTTTGCACTTTCAGGCGCAGCACCTTGGCTGACCCCAGAAGATTTTGCGCGGCTTTGTCATTCTTCGCAGGCAGCTGAGTTTAGCACAGTATGTATGATTCCAGCAAGAGAGAGGGCAAAGTCAGCTGTGCGTGGGCAGCATGCCAATAACAATGTGTGTCAAAACTATTGACAACAGAGCTAGCCAAAGCTCTTGGTTGGATCGCGATTCTCGATTCGCCCAAGGCTTTCCCTCATTCTTCGCCGCGAACAGCGACGAATGTGGCAGTACTATTGTCACGCAGAGGCAATCACGCTCTGCAGCATGGCCAGCATTGCAGTGCTTCACATTCACTTTGCATTTCGTGACAGGGATATGCGCAGCGTGTAGACGCTCTCGACTTGAACCATATGGATTGGACTGGTCCAGAGGTGGGGCCATTCAGTTTGCCCACGTTGCCGTGGCCATTTGGACCATTCACATGAGGTCAATTGGCACCGATGCTTTCAGCTGAATAGGCTGACAAAGGCAAGGCATGGCGTGCCATCAAGCATGGAACAATCTTGCATCTCGACCTTGTCAGATAGCGCCACACGCGTTTGCATACGTTCGGGTGAAGAGCTCAGCGCCACAACAAATTGGATTATTTTGTTTGACATATTTTTTCCCCCCGTTGACGACGGCAACCCCTTGCCCTCATCATTGCGAAAAGCGAGTTTCAGTTGACCAATGCTTTCAGCTGCTTTGCATCCAGTGCCATGAGGTTGGGGATGAGGACCTGAGAATACCTGCAACATGTGAGGATGGCGCTGCACCTACTGTAATTCTTCAGCCAGTGGCTACAACTGCGTGCCTCAAAATTGCCTAACCTTCCGAACTTGAGGCAATGACTCTAGAGCATCTGCCACGCAGGTGTACAACAGCTACTGCTTGCACTTTCAGCCATTTAGTTTGCCTGGCAGGCTTGGTTGTTAGACCATGGCTGGCGTCAGCGTTCCGCACTCTCAACAGTGCTTTGGCAGATGCTGGAGTCGCTGGCTCAGCTTGCATTGAGCGAGCCAGTCACCCACGCGTCATGCATCCAAGACCGTGCGATGTGCCCCATCGTTTCCGGGAGCTCATTGCAGGGAGGCGCACTTGGCGGTCCAGGTCTTGCCGGACGCGAATTCTTTAATGCTGAGCATTCTAAACTCATTTCAGCATACATCACAGAGCGCTGTGATTTCAGATTGGTCTGACCTAAAATCCGAAAACTATCATCCTGGTGTAACATAAAATATTTGAGAGTCACCATCACCGTGCCGATTCGAGGTTACAGTTTTATGTTTCAGACGTCAGGCAGCGGCAAAATCACTTTGCAATCGTTATTTCAGGAAGTTGTCTTGACAATATCATGGCTTTTCCTTGGGAAAGAAGATGCGATCAGTCTTGAGCCGGTCCTTCCTGGTACGTGTTTGATGCACGTCATCATGGACAATGCCCTGAGAGTGCATTTTTGAAAGGCCTGGCATGCTTATGCGCCGTGCTCGACTGGAGCTTAGTGTTGTGGTGGACATGCAAACATTTATTATTACCAGCTTTCTGGTGAGGCTTCTTCCAGAAAAGCTCAGCTGCAAGCGCCTAGGGCTGAGCCAAATAGCGGAGCCATGTGCTATGCTACATGTAATACTAATGAATTGTTTGTCGACAGGCCTTGGTGGAATGGCCTGTGGGCCGATACCCTTCTGGGGTCCAAGCCTCAGTCAGCCATTATTTGCCAAGATAGCAAAATTGGGCCAGTCTTTGGTGCTGAGGAATGGTGCTGGCGAATGCCACCTCACACACCAGAACCTTGGTTGCAGTGGCTCTTTGGGTTGTGCGGGTCGCTTGCAAGAGCCACAGGAGGATGCAGCAGCTGCAGAAAACTGGGAGGACTGCTTCAAAAGCTGGGCAGCATGCAGGCCTTGCTTTCAACTTTCTCAGCCTTGCAAGTGCTTGTATCTTGCCCAGCGTTGCCTGCATCTTGCCAAGCCAGCCTTGCGCATCGTTACTAGCATCTTGCCCAGCATTCAGCATAGCTTGTATCGTGCCCAGCATTGCTTGTATCTTGCCCATGTCTGCATCTGGCCAAGCCCTGTTGCTTGCCATCCAGCCTTGTCCGGCGTTGCCTGCTGTCCAGCCTTGCCCAGCGTTGGTAGCATCTTTCCCATCGTCGCTAGCATTTTGCCCAGCATTGCCTGGTGTGCAGCCTTGCCCAGTGTTGCTATCATCTTTCCCCTCGTCACCAGCATCTTGCCCAGCATTGACTGGTGTGCAGCCTCGCCCAGCGGTACTATCATCTTTCCCCACGTCACCAGCATCTTGCCCAGCATTGCCTGGTGTGCAGTCTTGCAAGGCGTTGCTATCATCTTTCCCTCTTCACCAGCATTGCCTGGTGTGCAGCCTTGCCCATCGTTGCTATCATCTTTCCCCCGTCACCAGCATCTTGCCCAGCATTGCCTGGTGCTATCATCTTCCCCTCGTCACCAGCATCTTGCCCAGCATTGCTTGGTTTGCAGCCTTGCCCATCGTTGCTATCATCTTTCCCTCGTCACCAGCATCTTGCCCAGGTGTGCAGCCTTGCCCAGCGTTGCTATCATCTTTCCCCTCGTGCCAGCATCTTGCCCAGCATTGCCTGGTGTCCAGCCTTGCTATCATCTTTCCCCTCGTCACCAGCATTTTGCATCGCATTGCCTGGTGTGCAGCCTTGCCCAGCGTTGCTATCATCTTTCCCCTCGTCACCAGCATCTTGCCCAGCATTGCCTGGTGTGCAGCCTTGCCCAGCGTTGCTGTCATCTTTCCCCTCGTCACCAGCATCTTGCATAGCATTGCCTGGTGTCCAGCCTTGCCCAGCGTTGCTATCATCTTTCCCCTCGTCACCAGCATCTTGCCCAGCATTGCCTGGTGTCCAGCCTTTCCCAGCGTTGCTATCATCTTTCCCCTCGTCACCAGCATCTTCCCCAGCATTGCCTGGTGTCCAGCCTTGCCCAGCGTTGCTATCATCTTTCCCCTCGTCACCAGCATTTTGCATCGCATTGCCTGGTGTGCAGCCTTGCCCAGCGTTGCTATCATCTTTCCCCTCGTCACCAGCATCTTGCCCAGCATTGCCTGGTGTGCAGCTTTGCCCAGCGTTGCTATCATCTTTCCCCTGGTCTCCAGCATCTTGCGTAGCATTGCCTGGTGTGCAGCCTTGCCCAGCGTTTGTTCGCATCTTTCCCCTCGTCACCAGCATCTTGCCCAGCATTGCCTGGTGTGCAGCCTTGCCCAGGGTTTGTTCGCATCTTTCCCCTCGTCACCTGCATCTTGCATAGCATTGTCTGGTGTGCAGCCTTGCCAGGCGTTGCTGTCATCTTTCCCCTCATCACCAGCATCTTGCCCAGCATTGTTTGGTGTGCAGCCTTGTCCAGCGTTGCTATCATCTTTCCCCTCGTCACCAGCATTGCCCAGCATTGCCTGGTGTGTGCAGCCTTGCCCAGCGTTTGTTCGCATCCTTCCCCTCGTCACCAGCATCTTGCCCAGCATTGCCTGGTGTCCAGCGTTGCTATCATCTTTCCCCTCGTCACCAGCATTTTGCATCGCATTGCCTGGTGTGCAGCCTTGCCCAGGCTTGCTATCATCTTTCCCCTCGTCACCAGCATCTTGCGTAGCATTGCCTGGTGTGCAGCCTTGCCCAGCGTTGCAGTCATCTTTCTTCCCCTCGTCACCAGCATCTTGCCCAGCATTGCCTGGTGTCCAGCCTTGCCCAGCGTTGCTATCATCTTTCCCCTCGTCACCAGCATCTTGCATAGCATTGCCTGGTGTGCAGCCTTGCCCATCATCTATCCCCTTGTCACCAGCATCTTGCGTAGCATTGCCTGGTGTGCGGCCTTGCCCAGCGTTGCTATCATCTTTCCCCTCGTCACCAGCATATTTCCCAGCATTGCCTGGCGTGCAGCCTTGCCCAGCGTTGCTATCATCTTTCCCCTTGCCACCAGCATCTTGCCCAGCATTGCCTGGTGTGCAGCCTTGCCCAGCCTTGCTATTATCTTTCCCCTCGTCACCAGTATCTTGCGTAGCGTTGCCTGGTGTGCAGCCTTTCCCGCGTCACCAGCATCTTGCCCAGCATTGCCTGGTGTGCAGACTTGCCCAGCGTTGCTATCATCTTTCCCCTCGTCACCAGCATCTTGCATAGCATTGCCTGGTGTGCAGCCTTGCCCAGCGTTTGTTTGCATCTTTCCCCTCGTCACCAGCATCTTGCCCAGCATTGTTTGGTGTCCAGCCTTGCCCAGCGTTGCTATCATCTTTCCCCTCGTCACCAGCATCTTGCCCAGCATTGCCTGGTGTGCAGCCTTGCCCAGGGTTGCTATCATCTTTTCTCTCGTCCCCAGCATCTTGCGTAGCATTGCCTGGTGTGCGGCCTTGCCCAGCGTTGCTATCATCTTTCCCCTCGTCACCAGCATATTTCCCAGCATTGCCTGGCGTGCAGCCTTGCCCAGCGTTGCTATCATCTTTCCCCTCGTCACCAGCATCTTGCATAGCATTGCCTGGTGTGCAGCCTTGCCCATCATCTTTCCCCTTGTCACCAGCATCTTGCCCAGCATTGCCTGGTGTCCAGCCTGGCCCAGCGTTGCTATCATCTTTCCCCTTGTCACCAGCATCTTGCCCAGCATTGCCTGGTGTCCAGCCTTGCCCAGCGTTGCTATCATCTTTCCCCTCGTCACCAGCATCTGGCATAGCATCCAAACTTTGCACGCGCTAAACATACACGCTTCCCAGGTTAGAGCCTCTTGCCCGCGCGTGGGCCGCGGGCGCGGCGGGGCCCCGCTGCAGCTCCTGTGGGCCAGTGGTCGCGCGTCCGTCTCTGAAGCGGGTGGTCCCGGGCTCGGCGCGCGCGCTTGTTTTTCGCGGCCCCGTCGTTGTTTCGGTCTGCCGGGCAATTTTTCGTGGTTTTCCACTTGCCGCAATCACAAACGCGCGGCGGCCGTTCTTTTTCATTACGCTTCATCGGCTCTCTGAGCACTTTCGCGGTCGAAACGCTCTTGGCTTTGCACGCGCAGAACTTCCAAGCTATGGTGTCCAGCCTTGCCCAGCGTTGCTATGCATCTTGCCCCTCGTCACCAGCATCTTGCCCAGCATTGCCTGGTGTGCAGCCTTGCCCAGCGTTGCTATCATCTTTCCCCTCGTCACCAGCATATTTCCCAGCATTGCCTGGCGTGCAGCCTTGCCCAGCGTTTGTTCGCATCTTTCCCTCGTCACCAGCATCTTGCCCAGCATTGCCTGGTGTCCTCGCATCTTTCCCCTCGTCGCCAGCATCTTGCGTGGCATTGCCTGGTGTGCAGCCTTGCCCAGCGTTTGTTCGCATCTTCCCCTCGTCACCAGCATCTTGCCCAGCATTGCCTGGTGTCCTCGCATCTTGCCCCTCGTCGCCAGCATCTTGCGTGGCATTGCCTGGTGTGCAGCCTTGCCCAGCGTTTGTTCGCATCTTTCCCTCGTCACCAGCATCTTGCCCAGCATTGCCTGGTGTCCTCGCATCTTTCCCCTCGTCACCAGCATCTTGCGCAGCATTGCATGGTGTCCAGCCTTGCCCAGCGTTACTATCATCTTTCCCCTCGTCGCCAGCATCTTGCGTAGCATTGCCTTGCAGCCTTGCCCAGCGTTTGTTCGCATCTTTCCCCTCGTCACCAGCATCTTGCCCAGCATTGCCTGGTGTGCTGCAGCCTTTCCCAGCGTTTGTTCGCATCTTTCCCCTCGTCACCAGCATGTTGCGCAGCATTGCCTGGTGTCCAGTCTTGCCTCGTCACCAGCATGTTGCATAGCGTTGCCTGGTGTCCAGCCTTGCCCAGTTCGCATCTTTCCCCTTGTCACCAGCGTCTTGCCCAGCATTGCCTGGTGTCCAGCCTTGCCCAGCGTTGCTATCATCTTTCCCCTCGCCATCAGCATCTTGCCCAGCATTGCCTGGTGTCCATCCTTGCCCAGCGTTTGTTCGCATCTTTCCCTCGTCACCAGCATCTTGCCCAGCATTGCCTGGTGTCCTCGCATCTTTCCCCTCGTCACCAGCATCTTGCCCCGCATTGCGTGGTGTCCAGCCTTGCCCAGCGTTTGTTCGCATCTTTCCCCTCGTCACCAGCATCTTGCCCAGCATTGCCTGGTGTCCAGCCTTGCCCAGCGTTACTATCATCTTTCCCCTCGTCGCCAGCATCTTGCGTAGCATTGCCTTGCAGCCTTGCCCAGCGTTTGTTCGCATCTTTCCCCTCGTCACCAGCATCTTGCTCAGCATTGCCTGGTGTGCTGCAGCCTTGCCCAGCGTTTGTTCGCATCTTTCCCCTCGTCACCAGCATGTTGCGTTGCATTGCCTGGTGTCCAGTCTTGCCCAGCGTTTGTTCGCATCTTTCCTCGTCACCAGCATGTTGCATAGCATTGCCTGGTGTCCAGCCTTGCCCAGTTCGCATCTTTCCCCTCGTCACCAGCATCTTGCCCAGCATTGCCTGGTGTCCAGCCTTGCCCAGCGTTGCTATCATCTTTCCCCTCGCCACCAGCATCTTGCCCAGCATTGCCTGGTGTCCATCCTTGCCCAGCGTTTGTTCGCATCTTTCCCTTGTCACCAGCATCTTGCCCAGCATTGCCTGGTGTCCTCGCATCTTTCCCCTCGTCGCCAGCATCTTGCGTGGCATTGCCTGGTGTGCAGCCTTGCCCAGCGTTTGTTCGCATCTTTCCCCTCGTCACCAGCATCTTGCCCAGCATTGTGCCTGGTGTCCTCGCATCTTTCCCCTCGTCACCAGCATCTTGCGCAGCGTTGCATGGTGCGCAGCCTTGCCCAGCGTTGCTATGCGTCTTTCCCCTCGTCACCAGCATCTTGCCCAGCATTGCCTGGTGTGCAGCCTTGCCCAGCGTTTGTTCGCATCTTTCCCCTCGTCACCAGCATCTTGCCCAGCATTGCCTGGTGTCCTTGCATCTTTCCCCTCGTCGCCAGCATCTTGCGTAGCATTGCCTGGTGTGCAGCCTTGCCCAGCGTTGCTATCATCTTTCCCCTTGTCACCAGCATCTTGCATAGCATTGCCTGGTGTGCAGCCTTGCCCAGCGTTGCTATCATCTTTCCCCTTGTCACCAGCATCTTTCAGCATTGCCTGGTGTGCAGCCTTGCCCAGCGTTTGTTCGCCTCTTTCCCCTCGTCACCAGCATCTTGCCCCGCGTTGCGTGGTGTGCAGCCTTGCCCAGCGTTTGTTCGCATCTTTCCCCTCGTCACCTGCATCTTGCCCAGCGTTGCCTGGTGTCCAGCCTTGCCCAGCGTTGCTATCATCTTTCCCCTCGTCACCAGCATCTTGCGTAGCATTGCCTGGTGTGCAGCCTTGCCCAGCGTTGCTATCATCTTTCCCCTCGTCACCAGCATCTTGCCCAGCATTGCCTGGTGTGCAGCCTTGCCCAGCGTTGCTATCATCTTTCCCCTTGTCACCAGCATCTTGCGTAGCATTGCCTGGCGTGCAGCCTTGCCCAGCGTTTGTTTGCATCTTTCCCCTCGTCACCAGCATCTTGCTCAGCATTGCCTGGTGTGCAGCCTTGCCCAGCGTTTGTTCGCATCTTTCCCCTCGTCACCAGCATCTTTCCCAGCATTGCCTGGTGTGCAGCCTTGCCAGCGTTGCTATCATCTTTCCCGTCGTCACCAGCATCTTGCCCAGCATTGCCTGGTGTCCAGCCTTGCCCTGCGTTTGTTCGCCTCTTTCCCCTCGTAACCAGCATCTTGCATAGCATTGCCTGGTGTGCAGCCTTGCCCAGCGTTTGTTCGCATCTTTCCCCTCGTAACCAGCATCTTGCCCAGCATTGCCTGGTGTCCAGCCTTGCCCAGCGTTGCTAGCATCTTTCCTCTCGTCACCAGCATCTTGCTTTTCCGTCGTCCCCAGCATCTTGCACAGCATTGCCTGGTGTCCAGCCTTGCCCAGCGTTTGTTCGCATCTTTCCCCTCGTCACCAGCATCTTGCTCAGCATTGCCTGGTGTGCAGCCTTGCCCAGCGTTTGTTCGCATCTTTCCCCTCGTCACCAGCATCTTTCCCAGCATTGCCTGGTGTGCAGCCTTGCCAGCGTTGCTATCATCTTTCCCGTCGTCACCAGCATCTTGCCCAGCATTGCCTGGTGTCCAGCCTTGCCCTGCGTTTGTTCGCCTCTTTCCCCTCGTAACCAGCATCTTGCATAGCATTGCCTGGTGTGCAGCCTTGCCCAGCGTTTGTTCGCATCTTTCCCCTCGTAACCAGCATCTTGCCCAGCATTGCCTGGTGTCCAGCCTTGCCCAGCGTTGCTATCATCTTTCCTCTCGTCACCAGCATCTTGCATAGCATTGCCTGGTGTGCAGCCTTGCCCAGCGTTGCTTTCATCTTTCCTCTCGTCACCAGCATCTTGCGATCATTTTTCCCCTCGTCACCAGCATCTTGCATAGCATTGCCTGGTGTGCAGCCTTGCCCAGCGTTGCTATCATCTTTCCCCTCATAAACAGCATCTTGCATAGCGTTGCCTGGTGTGCAGCCTTGCCCAGCGTTGCTATCGTTGCTATCATGTCTCCCTCGTCACCAGCATCTTGCCCAGCATTGCCTGGTGTGCAGCCTTGCCCAGCGTTCCTATCATCTTTCCCCTCGTCACCAGCATCTTGCCCAGCATTGCCTGGCCCAGCGTTGCTATCATTTTCCCCTTGTCACCAGCATCTTGCGTAGCATTGCCTGGTGTGCAGCCTTGCCCAGCGTTGCTATCATCTTTCCCCTCGTAACCAGCATCTTGCCCAGCATTGCCTGGTGTGCAGCCTTGCCCAGCGTTGCTATCATCTTTCCCCTCGTCACTAGCATCTTGCCCAGCCTTGCCTGGTGTCCAGCCTTGCCCAGTGTTGCTATCATGTTTCCCTCGTCACCAGCATCTTGCCCAGCATTGCCTGGTGTGCAGCCTTGCCCAGCGTTGCTATCATCTTTCCCCTCGTCACCAGCATTTTGCCCAGCATTGCCTGGCCCAGCCTTGCTATCATCCTTCCCCTCGTCGCCAGCATCTTGCGTAGCATTGCCTTGCAGCCTTGCCCAGCGTTTGTTCGCATCTTTCCCCTCGTCACCAGCATCTTGCCCGGCATTGCCTGGCACGCAGCCTTGCCCAGCGTTGCTATCATCTTTCCCCTCGTCACCAGCATCTTGCCCAGCATTGCCTGGTGTGCAGCCTTGCCCATCGTTGCTATCATCTTTTCCCTCGTGACCAGCATCTTGCCCAGCATTGCCTGGTGTGCAGCCTTGCCCAGCGTTGCTATCATCTTTCCCCTCGTCACCAGCATCTTGCCCAGCATTGCGTGGTGTGCAGCCTTGCCTAGCGTTCGTTCGCATCTTTCCCCTCGTCACCAGCATCTTGCATAGCATTGCCTGGTGTGTAGCCTTGCCCAGCGTTTGTTCGCATCTTTCCCCTCGTCACCAGCATCTTGCCCAGCATTGCCTGGTGTCCAGCTTTGCCCAGCGTTTGTTCGCATCTTTCCCCTCGTAACCAGCATCTTGCATAGCATTGCCTGGTGTGCAGCCTTGCCCAGCGTTTGTTCGCATCTTTCCCCTCGTAACCAGCATCTTGCCCAGCATTGCCTGGTGTCCAGCCTTGCCCAGCGTGTGTTCGCATCTTTCCCCTCGTCACCAGCATCTTGCCCAGCATTGCCTGCTGAGCCTTGCCCAGCGTTTGTTCGCCTCTTTCCCCTCGTCACCAGCATCTTGCGCAGCATTGCCTGGTGTCCAGCCTTGCCCAGCGTTTGTTCGCATCTTTCCCCTCGTCAGTTCGCATCTTTCCCCTCGTCACCAGCATCTTGCATAGCATTGCCTGGTGTCCAGCCTTGCCCAGCGTTTGTTCGCATCTTTCCCCTCGTCCCCGCATCTCGCCTAGCATTGCCTGGTGTCCAGCCTTGCCCAGCGCTTGTTCGCATCTTTCCCCTCTTCCCCTCGTCCCCAGCATCTTGCATAGCCTTGCCTGGTGTCCAGCCTTGCCCAGCGTTTGTTCGCATGTTTCCCCTCGTCACCAGCATGTTGCATAGCATTGCCTGGTGTCCAGCCTTGCCCAGCGTTTGTTCGCATCTTTCCCCTCGTCCCCAGCATCTTGCATAGCATTGCCTGGTGTCCAGCCTTGCCCAGCGTTTGTTCGCATCTTTCCCCTCGTCACCAG